AGTTGTATGTCATAGGTTCACATCCCTCTAGTTGCTGTACGTGGGACACGGCCTCAGGCATGGCCAGAGAAGCGGTGCGTCGGTGCGCGCCCGGGATCCGAACCCGGGCCACCAGCAGCGGAGCGCGCACACTTAACCGCTAAGCCATGGGGCCGGCCCCTCTTTAGTATTTCTGTGTGTCTCGTTGACAACAGTTCTATCATCACTTTGTTGACAAATTACCAAATTGCTTTCCAAAAACATTTTAACAACAACACGGGTTTATGGTGCCAACTGCAGTTAGATGAGTATGCTTGCTTTATCATAGTCTTGCCAGCACTGGGTGTCTCAGTGTATTGAGAACATATTTAATCATCATTCTTTCTATTAATTTATCCCTAACCTCTCCCCATAATTAAAAGTGTACAGTGCTGTGTCTGGTTGCCTTAATTTGTCTTTGAATACTACGCACATTTTCATCTCTTTTGAGATGCACATAACACATTTTCAACTCACATTTCAACTTGAGTTTTTTTGGTGCTTAATATTTGTCTGTTTCTTCATTAAAAGTCTTGATGATTTATAGATTTGAATGAGTTCGTATATATAAATTAATGCAGTCATATGTGATATAACTATTTTTTTCTGATATTATTATTGATTGATGTCTTAATAGTTTATAACATTGTGAAATTTTGGTTGTACATTATTGTTTGTCGGTCACCATATAGATGCCTCCCTTCACCACTTCTCCCCACCCCACAACCCCCTTGCTCCTGGTAACCACCATACAGTTCTCTCTGTCCGTGTTACAACTTTTTTTTTTTTTTTTTTTTGGTGAGGAAGGTCAGCCCTGAGCTAACATCCGTGCCATTCCTCCTCTTTTTGCTGAGGAAGACTGGCCCGAGCTAACATCCGTGCTGATCTTCCTCCACTTTATGTGGGGTGCCGCCACAGCACGGCCTGACAAACGGTGCGTCGGTGTGTGCCCAGGATCCGAACCCCAGGCCGCCAGCAGCAGAGTGCGCGCACTTAACCGCTACGCCACGGGGCCGGCCCCTATTTTTTTTTTTTTTTTATAACAGCTTATTAGGATGTAACATACCATACAATTTACCCATTTAAAGTGTGTAATATTTCAGTGGTTTTAAATATATTCACAAGGTTGTACAAACATCACCACCATCCAGTTCTAGAACCTCATCATTCCAAAAATAACCCAGACCCATTAGCAGTCACTCCATATTCTCCCCCTCCTGCAGCCCCTGACAGCCGCTAATCTGCTTTCTGTCTCTATAGATTTGCCTATTCTGGACATTTCACAGAAATGAAATCATACAATATGTGGCCTTCTGTGTCTGGCCATTTTCACTTAGCATATTTTCCATGTTCATTTATGTTATAGGATGTGTCAGTACCTGCTTTTCATGGCTGAATAATACTTCATTTTATGGCTAGACTGCATTTTGTTATCCATTTATCCATTGATGGGCATTTGGGTTGCTTCCACCTTTTGGCTATTTTGAATAATGCTGCTGTGAACATTCTTGTACAAGTTTTGTGTGGACATAGTGTTTTATTTCTCTTGGGTATACACCTAGGAGTGGAATTGCTGGGTTATATGGTACCTGTTTCCTTTTGAGGAGCTGTCAGACTGTTTGCCAAAGGGACTGCCCCATTATACATTCCCAGCAGCAATGTATGAGGGTTCCAGCTTCTCTGCATCCCCACCAACACTTGTTATTATCTGTCTTTTTGATTCTAGACATCCTAGTGGGTGTGAAGTGGGATCTCATTGTGGCTTTGATTTGCATTTCCGTATTGACTAATGATGTTGAGCATCTTTTAATGTACTTATTGGCCATTTGTATATCTTTTTTGGAGAAATATTTATTCAGATCAGTTGCCTATTTTTAAATTGTGTTTTGATTTGTTTTTTTGAGTTGTGTGCGTTCTTTATATAGTCTGGATACAAGTCCCTTATCAGATACATGATTTGCAGATATTTTCTCCCATTCTGTCGATTGTCTTTTCACTTTCTTGATGTTGCTTTTGAAGCACAAAAGTTTTTAATTTTGGTGAAGTCCCTTTGATCTGTTTTTTTCTTTTGTTGCTTGGCCTTTTGGTTTCATTTCTAAGAAACCGTTGCCAAGGTCACGAAGATTTATTCATGAAGGTTTATATATTCTTCTAAGAATTGTATAGTTTTAGTTCATACCTGTAAATCTTTGATCCATTTGAGTTAAATTTTGTATATGATGTGGGAAAGGCATCCAGCTTCATTCTTTTGTGTGTGGACATCCAGTTGTCCTGGCACCATTTGTTGAAAAGGCTATTCTTTTCCGTTGAAGGGTCTTGGCACACTTGTCAAAAATCAATTGGGCGTAGCTGTATGGGTTTATTTCTGGACTCTTCCATTCGTTTATGTGTCTGTCCTTATGCCAGTAGCACAGTCTTGATTACTGTAGCTTTGTAATAAGTTTTGAAATCTGGAAGTGTGAGTCCTCCAACTTTGTTCTTTTTTGAGATTGTTTTGGCTATTCTGGATCTCTTGAATTTCCATATGAATTTTAGGATCAGCTTGTCAATTTCTGCAAAGAGGCTAGCTGGGATTTTAATAGGGATCCCATTGAATAATTTTTAAAGATTTTATTTATTCAGTTTTTTCCCCCCAAAGCCCCAGTAGACAGTTGTATGTCATAGGTTCACATCCCTCTAGTTGCTGTACGTGGGACTCGGCCTCGCGTTGGACGGAGAAGTGGTGCCTCGGGGCGCTCCCGGGACCCGAACCCGGGCCGCCAGCATCAGAGCGCGCGCACTCAACCGCCAAGCCACGGAGCCGGCCCTGAATAATTTTTAAATCTTGTTAAATTTTTGAATTTGTTTAAATAATTTAAAAACATACAACTCTTTAAATGGCTTAGAAGTAACTTTGATGTGTATTGAGCAGTTTGACTCTAAATCAGTTATTTTCTAAATTGTTAACCTGTTATTCTGCTACAGTCTTTTTGAGAAGCTTATTTTTTATGAACTATAACTTTAATGTGTAGTTGGCAGTTCTTGGACTTTTCTTTCCATTAACTTATACTTTTGTGTCCAGGACTGCCAGGTTAGAATTCTCTGTAGTTGAGGTGCAGTAATTGAGTGCCTTCTGTGTGTCCAGCCTTAGTCAGGGTGGGTGAGCAGGGCGAGGGGATCTAGGGTGGGAGACACTGTGGTCACAGGGTTTGGACTGGCTTCCTCTATGGGTAGGAGTTGGCCGCAGATGGCATTTAGGCTGGGCAGTGATGGGAATGCCAACTGGCCAAGCAGGGGGGGTTGGAGACTTCATGCAGTGCTGAGGGAGGAAGGTGAGGGCAGATAGGTGCTGGGTGGTGGGGTTGGTAGGCACGCAGGACACGGCGGGCTGGGATTTGATCAGGGAAGGGACTTGGGAGAGGAGGGCAGTGGCCTGACCCTTGTGGCAGAGTGTCACATGGCCTGCCCTGTACTTGACGTTTGTGTTTCAACAGTGTCAACATTTCAGTTCATGCCTTTAGGAAAATCTGCTTTGAGTCTTACCTCTTTTTTCTCTGTGTCCACTAGTATGACACCGTTCCTATTCAGTCCAGTGTGGTGTTATGTTCCTGCCCATCCCCATCAATGGTGAGGACCCAGACTGAGTCCAGCACGGCCCCTGGCGTTCCCAGCGGTGGTAGCAGGCAAGGCCCCGTCATGGACAGCACCACGGCTGAGTCCCGGCCAAACGCCAACTCCTTGCAACATGCTGCACAGCCGCCACCACCACAGCCTCGGAAGAAACGGCCTGAGGACTTCAAATTTGGGAAAATTCTTGGTGAAGGGTCTTTTTCAACAGTGAGTACATGCCACTGTTGTTTGTTGAATGAGTATGTTTTCCTTGGGAAGGCTGACCTTCCTTGGGGCTTGGAGCTGGGAGACCCAGATACCAGGGTGGTGGTCTTCCCCGTAAGAGGGTCTCAGGACCCTTGGGGGTTCCTCTCCTGTTGTGAAGGTGACTTGGGGCTGGCTACTACCAAGCAGATCACGTGGCTAAAATATCTAAGCCGTGATTTTGTAGATGAAAGCTTTAAAAGGCATCTCTTGATCTTATTTTTTACTTTTTAAAAAAATTCAGTTAATTTTTATTCTAACCAGGCATCAGCAAGTTACATTCCATGTCTTTGTGTCCCATTGGCAAGGCCTTGGAAGCTTTTCTGTTCCTTAGATTGAAAATTAGTATCAGTATTAGTATCTTCAGAGGTTTTGGGAAACATTTAATGACCTTTGTTATTTCTCTGTTATTTTAAAATATATATAAAACAGTACACCCTTGATATTTGCTAGAGTTGCAGCCCAAGACGCACTAGCCTCTAGGTTCTTGTGACCTCAGTTTCATAAAACAGAAATATTATCACAGCACTGTCAAGTCATACACAGAGTAACTCTTTTTGCTACCTGAGTGTTACCTGTTTTGTGGTATTTTTCCTCTTAAAGCAAAGAAATGAAGGTTCAGAGCAGCCCCTTAGCTGAGGTGGAAGCCCTCTGTAGCTGTCGTGGGGCCGGGGGCTTGCTGTAGGCTCATGGGGAGGACCGAGCACCTGCTCCCCAGCTGGGGAGCGCAGTCTAAATCTGCACCTCTGTGAAAAGGCAGATCCCTGCTGCTGTGTCTCTGAGCTGGGCCCAGCATGCGCTGTGGACACACCAGGGTGGCCCCGCAGGGTCCTCACTCTGGCAGGGTTCCTGAATAATGAGTCTTTCTTGCCTGGACTTTGTGAAGAAACCTTGTGCGAAATTTGTTTTCCTTTTCTCTTTTTACATTTATGAAATATTTCAAAATACAAAGAAGAATGTGAAATATATAGCTCACCCATATTCCCAACATCACTTTAATTAATGTTAACTTTTGCTCCCCTTACATTTTTGTTTTAGATTTTTTTATTGGCAGTTTTTTTTTTTTTAATTATGAAAGCACTGTGTCCTCATAATAAAAACTTTCAACTATGAGGATGGTCCCTAGTAGTTCTGGTACTCACAGATCCTTTCAGAAAGAAACTAATTTGAAAAGAACCTTGGGTATTTTGCACAGTTACTTACAATAGTCCAGTAAAAGAAGAATTCTCTCCTTTTCTCAGCTTTACTTCATTGGACGTTTATCTTGGCTGGAAAATGAGGACTTATTTGTGAAACTCCCCCCTGTCCCTGGGTTTCCACAGTGGGTGAAATTAGGCACCTGGGTGAAATTAGGCACCATCCGTTCTGGGTGACATACTCCTGGGGTTGAAAGGCCCCAGCAGTAGTTCTTGTCATCCTTGTGCCTTTTGAACCGCTGTGCCAGGGAGGTGCCTGGGAAAGCTGGAGGCTCCTTTCTGGTGCTGTTTGGAATCCTGCAGCCCTGGGTCTCAAATTATATCTGCTACCCTCAGGTCTTTCTCACTCTCCTGAAATAGAGACCACTTAAAACTAGATTTCCAGGGGAGGGATGGAGGACAAGCGGCAGTTCCCAGGCTGGGTAGAATCTTCGCTTGGCAGAGCCTAGTGCTGGAGAGCAGAGAGGCCTAGCCTGCTGCTGTCCAGCACCCTGAGGATGATCGTGACATCTAGATTAGCCCTACTGTCAGCCCCAGGTGACATGGAGGGATGTGCCATGCCTTGTTCTCTGGAAGAGGGACACTCCCTGCCCTGCGCCCATGAGGAAACCTGTATGTGAAATGCAGAATTCATGCAACAGAAAGATTACATAAATATCTCCTTCAGAAAGGATTACTTTAAATATTAGCACTCTCTAACAATCTTTTCTTTTTTCTACTTATGTAGCTAGTACATGCTCCTATGAAGAATTTAACATTGCAAAGTACATAACCCAGGGAAGGGAAGTCCTTCCCCAGTCGCTCCCCCACACTCCCCAGTGCCCGAGAACAGTCCATACAGGTACATTCCTCCAGAAAGATCTTTGAGATCTTTACACTTGAGTACATAGAGTCTGACCTTGTTCTTAATAACTGCAGGGTGTTTCACACAGTGCTTTTCCAGGATCACTTCTGATGAGTCTGGTGAAGAATGCTGTAACAGGATATAACTCGTAACCAGGGGCTGGATGAACTGCCTGTGGCCTCCTGAGGTCTTCCTAGCAGGTCCAGGGCTTTCCCAGGAGTCGAGCAGGTTTCATCTGCTCTGTGGTCCTCGTGCCATCCCCCTGCAGGTGTCTTGAGAGAGGCATTTGCACCAGCTGGCAGTGGTGGGGGCCGCCCCAGCACACTGCGAAACTGGGCTCATCAGGCATTTGGAAATTGGCGCGCAGGTTGTGCCCAGGGTTTGCTTGTGTAGAAAAGTCTTTTCCACATTGTGTGATGCCCCTTTGGTGCTCTGTCCCCAAAGTGGAGTTTGAGTACAAGACTTGGGGTGCTGCAGAGAAGGCACAGCCGGGGTGTGACTGCATCCTGTGGGGGAAGGCACTCTCCCCAGGCCAAGTGTGATTTAGTTTCCTGTGCCCTTGATAGCAGGGATCATATTCACGGTATCTGAGATGGCATCAAGTAGGGTAACAATTATTGGAAAAAGCTTTTTGGAATGAACATATACTGTAGACATATTCATAAAGTTATTTTTTGAAGAAATTCCCAGTACCTGCTTGTGGAGGTATTAGTTGCTGCTTGTTCCTACTGTTTGTGAGGATTATGCTAGTCTAAGATGTTCCTGAATGTATATTTCACTGCACCCTGGGGACTATTGGCAGCTGATTGAGAGCCTTCTAAAAAAAGTCAAGAGAGATATTTGTTTTGCTGTTAACTCTTAGAACACATTAACTCAGCCATTGACGTTCAGCTGTGTTAGCACAGGACCAAAAATATTTAAATGTAATTTCAAATATTTAAATGTTATTGCATAGTGGGGATGGGGTGGCCTGTGTGGTTGGTTACAGGGAGGCTTGTGAGACTCAGTGCCCTGGTTACATTGGGTGTTTTTTCTCTTCTCTTTCCCCCTTTTCTTTCCAAACCAGGTTGTCCTGGCCCGAGAACTGGCAACCTCAAGGGAATATGCTAGTAAGTACTAACTCCCGCGAGCTGTGTGTCTGGGGTGCAGGGACCCCTGGAGGTTTCTGTGCTGATTTCAGGGGATAGGATGCTGTTGGTCTTACAGACCGTGAAGCCAGTGGGTGTGTTTTGTGAAAAACTTAAATATGTACCAGTTAGCTTTATGAGTTGTATCTTTAGTATTTTCTTACCGTTTCCAATTGTAGTAACTCACTTCTCTCTTACCTTAAGTTAAAATTCTAGAGAAACGTCACATTATCAAAGAGAACAAGGTCCCGTATGTTACCAGAGAGAGAGATGTGATGTCGCGCCTGGATCACCCCTTCTTTGTTAAACTTTACTTCACGTTTCAGGATGATGAAAAGCTGTGTATCCTTTGACCGGTCAAGCCTTCTGAATCACACCACTGAGCCCCTATCGTTGTGGAATCATGACCCCATTGTTTGTTTTCATAAGTAGCCCCTTCCCTGGAAAGGAAAAGGGTGGCAGATACTAAATATAAAGGAATTCCCATCACTTTGCTTTGGGAGCCCCTGGGATTGCTGGCATTCACTGAAGTAGAACAGTCACTTCAAGGGAGATCAGCACAAACATTTTTGGGGTATTTGTTATTGATAAGCATTATGTCTAAAGGATCGTTATTATTTTAACCTCACGGTTGCTAGACATTTATTCAAAGGCATTCCCTCATTCCTCTAACCAGTGTCCTTGGAATATCTACCAAGTTTCAAGTCCTATGCCCAAAGCAGGGAAGTGAGAGAGAGGAAGAATGACCTTGGGCATTTGGGGCTCCTGGAAGGCGGGTACCTCTATGCCCTCTTTTTGCCCAGGGGTGTGAGGTTTGGTTGGAAGGGACATCTTTACCAGGCTCAGCCCAGGTGAAAAGTCCAAGGAGTGACCCACAGGAGCCCAAATCCTTTCTCCCTGTACCCAAGATGCTGTTCTCCCGGTGGCAGCCACTTCCCAGGGCCCTCCAGCCTCCCTCTTCCCTCCTTGCCCCCTGGAGTCTGCTCTCTCTGCCCATGGATCTCTGATCACCCAGTGCCTCTGGCTCTCCAGGGCTGTGCATACTGCTTCTCCAGATGCTCCTCCAGCAGACATCACAGCCCACTGAGTCTTTGCTTTATTGGAGGGCATCTCATGCTCCCTGACTTCTCTAACCCTGGAGCATTGTCTCTTTTTCCTTTGTGTAACCATCAGAGAGGGCCACACGTCTGTCCTCCAGCTTGTCTCTGAGCATGTCCAGCACGCGGTCATGTGGGCCAGTTTCTGCGCACTCCCTGGCTGCTTTCCTGCTCTTGTTCTTCCAAACCAAGACTTCCTCAGCCCTGGTGTGTCCAGTGACTCTGTCCTTGATCCCAGCAGATGCTTTTGGCTTTTACTCAACTGAGAGAGGTCGGGCTGTCGGATTGAGTTGGTTCAGAGCTTGTTCAGGTTTAAACCTCAGTCTTTGCATCTATTCTTTTCCTCCTGCCCTCAGGTCTCTGGAACCGCTTTCCCTCACCCCACCACCCACAAAGCTGGTCTGGTGTCTGAGGGCTTGGCTTCCCCCTCCCACCTGATCCCCCTGCTACCTCCTCAGACATTCCCCCTCTCCCCCCTTCTCTACACACAGATTCTTCTGGGTTCAAACTTTGCTGGATCCTGTTTCCCCTTTAACACCATTTTCTGGCTCCTTCGCCTGTCAGCTGAATTTGTTGTTCTGATTATTGAGAAGTCCTTGTTGAATGCCAGGTGATGGGAATGTGCTGGTCAGTAAGGTGAAGGCTCTGCCCTCAGAGAGCTTATGTTTCTGTGGAGGAGTTAGATGTACACAGATGATCGATACCTTTACCTTAGGTACCTTAGGTACCTATACGATACCTAATAGACTTTGAGAGACCAAGAGCAGTAAGGCGAGGTGAGGGAGCACTGGAGTGTGCTGCTGGTTTAGCTCGGTGGTCTGAGGAGACCATGCTGGCCAGAGACCTGGGTGGAGTGAGGGCAGGAGCGCGTAAGGGCATATGTGTGAGTGGAGCAAAAAGGCTGGGCAGGGGCCAGCTCTTTGAGCCTCAGAGGCCTGGCTAGAGTTTTGGATTTTCTTCTGAGTGTGTCAGGGAACCCAGGAGGGTCTTGAGCAGGGCAGCCGTTCACTCTGACTCTGGCTGCTGCTGCAGTGAAGGTTTTTGTAAGTGAACTGGGCGAGGGAAGATGGAGTCATGGTGGCTCCTGGGTGAGGGACCTCGGAGCTTGGGTGCACAGTGGTGCTGTAGTTGAGCTGGAAGAGACTGGGGAGAGGCTGGGCTGAGGGTGGATGTCTCATTGGTGTTTGATGCATTCGTTGGTGCTCGCTGCTCAAGGACCAGTTGGGCTGCTGGGTGGCTGCCAGCAGAGCTCTGCGAGGAGTCAGGGTGGCGAGCAAATTAGGGGTGTGTCAGTGGGCTGGCTGGCCACTGGAGGGCGCTTGGCAGGGGGGAAGTGTGAGGCCTGAGCCTGGGTCACCCCACAGCAGAGAGTGGCACGCTGAAGGAACTCTCCAAGGAGGTTGCGGGGGTGTTGCCAGTGAATGGAGAGCACAGAGACCCGGGGCACACAGGACCAGGTGCTTTCCAATGGAGGGTGCTGGGCTGCCCAGTCAGATGCTGCTGAGTCAAATACATGGGGCCTGGGCCTGACCTGTGGGTTGGCCCCCATGCAAGTTGTTGTTGACAGTGGCATTTTGGGGGTAAGGAGGAGGGTTCAAGAGAGAGAGGTGAGGAGGTGCAGACAGCACACAGAGCAGGTTCCTCCCAGTGGTTTTACTGTAAAGGGGAGCAGTGAAGTGATCTAGTACTCACTGGCGTGGAGTGGGGAGAGGGCTTTCTTGTTGGCTTGTTTTAGGTGTCACCCCTGTCCTGATCTCTCTGTTGTCACTGCTCGTGTGGCAGCCATCAGTGGCCTCCTGAGGACATTGAAGGGAGCTCTTCACCTCTGTTCTGTATCTCTCTCACCTCTCAGGCCACGTTGACCCCTTGTTTCTCGTGCTCTCTAGGACCTGTGTGACTCGGCTCCTCCTTGAGCCCGTGGAAGTCTCTGGCTGCCAGATTTTCTGGAGGCCCAGGCCTGGTCTTCTTGCAGGGCCCGTGGGACAAAGTGTCTTGATTGGGAGGCTCTGACAGATCACACACACTTGACGACTTCTCCCAAGGTCACATCTGGTGGGATAAGGTGGCTCAGTGTGGATGAGTGAGCTTGCTGTCTAATTTCAGATGGGCTTGACCAGAGTATCATAGTGGAGGGGACTCTAGGTCTTAGTCTAACAGTATCTGTTGCTCTTGATCTTTAACGCAAATTCCAAAGTCCGTGAAGGTTGTGAGGGCTCACTTACCTCCGACAAGAGTGAGACCTGGGGACTTCCGCCCCACTCAGAATGCTTAGTGGCGTACATTGTGTTCAAAGAGAAAGAAAAGGAAACTCTGCCTGAAGAAAACCCCCAATATGCACACCATCCTCCCTGTAGCCATAATTTACACGTTGGGGAGAGAAGGGAACAGTTCTTCCAGCAACTGCAGGGGCAAACCCACCCTCAGGACAGGTGAGGCAGAGCCTGGAGACACCCCTGCAGCAGCCCGAAAATGGGTGGGTAGATCCATGTGGGGCCCCCTGGGTGCTTGCAGCCTCTTTGCCCTCTGGAGGTTCAGCTTGACCAGACTCAGTCTCTGTCCCAGGACAGGGGAGCAGAGCTCAGAGAAGTGGCCAGGTGCAAGCCCTCCTTCCCTCCTAGGGTACAGCGCTAGGCTGGGCTGAGCTGAGCACCAGAGCTGGGCAGTGAGGGTGTGTGTGCCTTTCCCTCCAGCAGGGATGAAGGCTGAGGGGTTTCAGAGGCTTTTGCTCAGCTGGCCTGTGTTCTTCCTCCACCTCCCACCTGCTCATCCTGTGTGTCCTCTCTTGCAGCCTGGGGACACAAGCAGTGTGCTAGGGCTCTGGAGGCTGGGCTCTAGTCCTGTCCCTCCTTGGCTTCATGACCTTGAATCAGTTGCTTAACCTCTCTGGGCCGGGTTCTTCTGCGAAGTGCAGGTGTTGGATGCATCAGGCTCTCAGGCTCTGCCACAGGCCTGGTCTGTGCTCATCTTCCCGGGAATTCACCCACTCCATGAGAGAGAACAGCCTCTTCCTCACTGCCCTGGAGCATTGTCTATGCTGAGGGAGATAGAAACTTTCTAGAATGTGAAATGGACCAGTGAGGTCTGAAAGGGTACTTCTGGGGGATGAGGAATGTGTGTGGTTGGAGAGAACATGGGCCGTGATCCTCAACATCTGTCATGTTCAAAACCTATTCGTCACCTTAGCTCTGCAGCTGAGCAGAGAACCAGAAGTGTCCCTCACACAGGAAACAGGAACTCAGGGAGTGGTCAGATAAGGGGCAAAAACCTGTGAAGCCAGGAGAGGTGCTGTGTCTGTGTCTGTGGCTGAGCCTCTCATGTGGGCTGCAGGCTCCTAGGAGACGATGCTCCTAACTAGTGAGGCTCCTTGGCTAGTCCAGGTGCAGCTGCCTGCACAGGTGGCGCCAAGCTCCTGCTTGAGGGCAGGTGAATGGGAGTCTGCAGGCTGCTGGTGAAGAGGCTATGGACACCAGCCTTCACTGCAATGGGTGCAGAGCAGGGTGAGGTGGGAGGGCACCTGGCCGAGACCCTTTGCGTTCCCTAGAAGGAGGGTTGGCCTTTTGCTTCAGGTTCCTATTAAATGTTGTCTTAGTTGGAATGGCTTGGGTGGCTGCAGGTGGGGCTGGATCAGGGGCAGGTTTCGGCAGCTTTGGTTTCCAGTCCCTTTCCTCCCTGGCTTGTCCTCACTGCCCTGCAGCTTTAGGCTCCTTCCTTGGTGGGAGATGGCAGTGCTTTGGCAAATAGAAGCCGGACGAAATGCCCACCCTGAGCACGAGCCACCCCTTCCTGCCTTCAGAGGTGCTGCTCAGGGCGGGTGAGGACACGGGTCACCGTGTCCTTGGCTGCCAGGGAGCAGTGAAGTACCTGTGGATTTCCATTAATAGGCGCAGATGTTTGGTGCTTCCTGGAGGAAGCAGTTATACGGGACCCATGTATTGTTCCAGCCTTTAATCTTCTTTGGAAAAGGGAGAATAGAAATAAAACATCACACCGCAGTGCTGTCGGAGGGAAAGGTCACTGTGTTCCTTGAGTCTCTCCCCAGTGGGTGCCCCATAAATAGATTGAGTGAGGAAGTTAATAAAATGGCATTTCTCTTACAAAACTTGTCACTTTATACTTGGAAAGGAGCATTCATTTGAGGAACTTTTTACATAAATTGACTCAGCACAGCACGTGGAAGGCAGTCAGTGCTCAGTACATGTTGTGTACATGTTGTGGTACAGGTTTGGAGGCTATATTGTGATGGAGACCCCCTAACTCCCTTTGCTGAAGCCTGGGAAGAGGCAGGCCCTGACCGCCATCTCTAGCAGCTTCCCTTCACTGAGCCCATGGGTGTCGTCTGGGGATGGAGGGATCCAGACGAGGCGTTTGGGCTGAGAGGCTTGTGTCATTGTGTTCTTGGCGCAAAACCGACACTGGGGCCTGGCCCTGGAGCAGGGGCCTGGGATTCTGGCCCAGCAGCCGTGGTTCTGACCATAGCAGAGTCTGACTCGAAGAGAGGCAGCTGTCTCGGGCCACAGGTACCTTCAGTTTTCATTAATTAAAAAAATTCCTGTTGGGCTGTTAAGGTCAGTTTGAAAAAATGACTTTTGCACTCTTCCTTAACTAAGCAATATTTAGATTTTGGCCTTAGTTATGCCAAAAACGGAGAGCTACTTAAATACATTCGCAAAATTGGTTCTTTCGATGAGACATGCACCCGATTTTACACGGCCGAGATGGTGTCCGCTCTGGAGTACTTGCACGGCAGGGGCGTCGTCCACAGGTACTGAGTGGCCCGGCAGACTTTGCTCACAGCCTGGGCTCAGCTCGGCTGCATTTCATGGAGGCGTGGGGTCCACGTCACCTGACGTTGAGAGGCTTCTGGACCTTTCGATGTCAGAGGAGTTTGGTCGGCTGCCTTTTTTGCCAGGCTAGCAGCTCTTAGCCATTTGACTGGGGCTTTTATTTTGTCACTTGTAGTTTTCGTGTGTACTTACTTCTGGTCTCATTTTCCATGACTTTCTGATAAAGTCAAATTGAAAGTGTTTGTATAAGCTCTTTTTTTTTCTTACTGATTTTTTTTATTGTGGTAAAATGCACATGACATAAAATTTACTGTTTTAACCATTTTTTCCAGTTTTATTGAGCAATAATTGACATCCATCACTGTATAAGTTTAAGGTGTACAGCACAGTGGTTTGATTTACATATATTGTGAAATGATTACCACAGTAGGTTTAAAAGGTCTGTATTTTATGGGTTAAAATGATAGATTTTACTTCAATAAAAAATTTATTAAAATGATATACAGTTATGAAGTGATGTAATTTGAATGTCTCATTGTATGCAATTGATGTTTGTTCAGTGTGAACTTTAGAATTGCATTCTTGGTTGTTAGTCTGTAAAGATTATAAGTATTAATCAGTTCATTTTGTTTTCAGCAAAATTTAGAGTATGTAATAATGTTAGTGTTTTAAATATTTAATCTCAAGTGTAAAAAATCTGCTTTCACAGGGACCTGAAACCAGAAAACATTTTGTTAAATGAAGATATGCACATCCAGATCACAGATTTTGGAACTGCAAAAGTATTATCCCCTGAGAGTAAACAAGGTGTGTGAGAGCTTTCTTTCCAGTAGATCCTGGCTCAGGGCTTAGATCAAAACTAGCTTCTCAGAAATGTGTTGAATGGCATTGTGTTCATCGTTAATGACAGGTGTTTGTAATACTTTGTTATTGAGCAATAGATGCCAGAGCTTTCACAGGGGGTGCCCTGGCACTGTGGGTCTCGTCTAGTGGGTGTAGGGAGGGGGCTTCCTAGGCTGCCTGTGGTTGGTCTGCTCGGCCTTGGGGGCGGGGGGCGGGGGTGGTGCTAGATTGCCAGGTGCTCTCTGCATGTTGTTGTCGCAGGTTCATGAGTGCCTGCTGAGGCCCATTCTCCCTAGTCATCTTTCTTGAAGATGCTGGGGTGCCGTGTTTGTTCCTGGTCCCCCATGCAGAGATGTGGGGTCCATTCGGTCAGCTCCCAGCTCTTCCTGTTGAATAGCACTGCAGATTGTAACTAGGGGAGCACTGTCCCTATATCCTAGTGCCCGCTGTCTTTCGGTCTATCACCTGTGTGCAGCTGCCAATGGTGGCCCAGGCACGCCCATTATAGTGAGATTCTGCAAGATCACAGAACGAGTGGGAGCTGATTTTTACTTGCTGGTCAAGTGCACATTTATAATTGCAAACACTGCTAATCACTGTTCCCCTAGGGTAATTCCTGTCATTGGATTATGTATTGTGACAGCTTCATCGCCTGAGGAGGAGTTGCTGACAGTCCACTTGGGCCAGAAGAGTGCCCTGGGTGTCTTAGCTAGCCGGGGGCTTCTCTGCTGGGTCTCGCTACCCTTCAGGTGTTGTTGGATAGAAATCATAAGCCTCTGGGGGTATAAAGAATGGCAATTTAATTTCTAAAATCTGTTTGCAAGTGTTGGCGTAGAGAGAAGATAGAACCATTTATGGTGAGGTTTGGGGGAAGCTGAAGGCTGCTGTGTGAGTTAAGTGACCTTGAAAATGAACCTTGGGTCTGGGGACAAGTGTGACCATCAGAGCCACCCTGACCCAAGAGGCTGCTGTGGGGACCCCTGTGCAGTGCACGCACCTCTGCTGGGGCTTGTAGGTACCTTTCAGAGAAGGACCTTGGTGAAAGCACAGGGGGAAATGGATATGCTGGGTGTGAGTACAGGGTTTGTTGGCGGAAGAAAGATTCAGAGAGAAGCACCCACTTTGCTACAGCTGCTCTCAGACGGAAAAGGGGAACTGTGAGCACAGCACAGTGGTGGTGGGGAGCCTGGCTCTTCAGAGGAGCCCTCGAGCTCAGCTGGGCCAGTCTTCTCTGCCTTGGGCTGAAGTTGTGGCCTGTTTAGCGACAGCATGTTGGGCAGCCCCTGGGCTAATGCCTGGGGTCCGCTCCTCCTGGCCGTGCACTGGCGGAGATGCAAATCTCACTGCTGGGAGGCGCCTGGCCGTGCCTAGCTGGGCCGCCAGGGGTTCCTTATCTTCCTTTTCTGGGTGTTTTTCCAGCCCCGTGTTTTCAAACTGAGGGTTCTTGTGAAGATTCTATCAGTTAGTGCTTTAACCTCGTGCAGACGCTCTCTGGATCACCAAGACTACGTCTTGGATTTGGGAACTTCTCTGAGAATCCTAAAGCACTGCCCTTTTGGGGCTGAAACAACTTTCAATCAAGTTTTTTGATGTATTTCTCAAGAAGCCTTAGTCCTGGCACCACTCACCTGCCCTTTGTAGCCTCCCGCCCCCCACCAGGCTTTGAGGGTGAGCAGCCTCCCGCCTGGAGATGCACAAAGTCTGGGGAGTCCTCCTGGCGCTTGTGAGATGCCCCGAAATCTTGATCTATTTGATTCATTCCTATTCCATAGTAACATGTTATTGGCTGGGAACCATGTTTTTATGGAGATGGTATAATCTGCATCCGTAAGCATTGTCCCTGACGGAGGTGACCCACACAGGAACTGCTGTGTCCCGAGTGTTCTTGTTAGGCTGCTGTTCGTCTCATGTGCAACTTCCCACTGAGACAAGCCGCTGTCTGCCATGGGGCCCCCATTCAGCCTTGGGAGCCACCCACCTTGGGGTCTGCTCTGTCCTTTTTTCCTTCATGTTCTTCAGAATCTATTTGGCACAGGCTAGTCCTGTTGCCCTGTAGCCATTAAAAAAATATAAGAATTTTGGGCCCGCTCCGTGGCTTAGCGGTTAAGTGCATGCGCTCCGCTGCTGGCAGCCCGGGTTCGGATCCCGGGCGCGCGGGCGGGCACCACTTCTCCGGCTATGCTGGGGCCGCGTCCCACATACAGCAACTGGAAGGATGTGCAGCTATGACATACAACTATCTACTGGGGCTTTGGGGGGAAAAAATAAATAAATAAAATCTTTAAAAAAAAAAAAAATAAGAATTTAAATACGTTGGCGAAAAAGTGAAATAAACCTACTTTTCTTTCTTTCTGGAAGCAGGAGGCTAAAAGTCCTTACATTGTAAACGAGGGAGAATTGCTTGTATATATAGATGAGTTGACTTTTTTTTTCCCTTCTTAGAGAAAAAGGGAAAACAATATATAATTATGTAAATGATTCATTTTATTGACTTACTCTAATTTTGTGTTTGAAGTACTTCAGAATCTTAGAATTTACCTACTACATTTGCTCTTTCTAACTTTTGTGCAGAGTTAGTTTCCCTAAAACACTTTAAAGGTTCCAGAAGGAAAGTGTTGGTGGGAACAAGCCCCAGGTTTCTCAGCTGTGCAGTGAGCATGTTTTGCCCTCCTCCTAGTGAGAGGCAGGTTGTTCGTCCTCACTGACCTCTGTCACAGTGGGTTGATCCTGGAAGTGGGTGAGGCCTGCATCTCTCTCTTGCTGCTGTCTGTTGGGTTGGAGTGGCCCCTGTGTCTGGGAGGGGCCGAGGTGGGAGACAGCAGGGCAGCTGTTGAAGGCATGTGAGATTGACAAGGACTTTCTGTGCTGGCACAGAGGACTTGTGACTTCTAGCTGTGCACAAGGGTCCCACAGATATATCCAGGGGAGGGCAGCTTAATCACATGGAGTAAGCCCTTGTCTGTGACTATGTCCCTGGCCTTTTCCCTCTTTGCAAGAAGCTTGGGGAGCTTGGGGTGCCCCAGAGGTTCAGACTTGGGGTTTGTGTCTGGAAACCTGTGTTCTGAGCTGTGCAGGCCTTTCTGGTATGCAGCCAGGTATGGAGGCTCCACTCACCCCAATGTGTGGGGTGGGGGATGGCTGGAGAGGGAATGGAGCGGGGAGGCTTCAGAATCTAAATCACTTCTGTCACTCCATCTGCACCTTCTTTGCGTGGCCCCTCTATGGATGGCCCTCGTCCAGACCCTCAGACCAGCGTCAACTCCCCCTCCCGGTGTGCTGTGGACTCGAGACCCTCTCACAGTGCCTCTGCCTTGCCAACATTCTAGCAAGGGCAGGACCACTACCCTCTCCCCGCTCCTTCCCATGCTAGAGTCGAGTCCCTATACTTAGACCACCAACACAACTCTTAACCATCGAGAACTGGTTTACTTTGGTCTTTTCAGTATTGGTACTTGTGTAGTCATAGCTATGATGCATGGAGTGTTTTTGTCATTTTTTAAACAGAGTGTCTGCTTTTTGTAAAAATTCAAACCATAGATATGACCTGGTTCCCACCATCATCGATTTGTTTTCCCTGTAAATATTTTACTATTTAATATTAAAATATAAAACTTTAAAAAAAATAACATAAATATACCATACCATTTTTATACATAAAAAATTAAGAATAATTGCTTAATATTCCAATATTCAGTCATTGTTAAATTTCTAGTCATTATAATTTTTTGGTTGTTGTTTGCTTGAATCAGGATTCAAATGAAGTTCCCATATTGAGTTTAGCTAATTTGTCTTAATCTATAGCTTCCCTTCCTTATCTTTTCCCTTGCCATCTGTTAAAGAAACCAGGTCATTTGTCTTATCGAGTTTCCCAGAGCTTGCTGATTGTGTTTCTGTGGAGTCATGTAACATGCTGCTCCCCCATCTGTACCTTTTGTAAGTTGGGAGTTGGATCTGGCCGCTTGATCACATTCCACTTGAATCCTCTGGCACCAAAGGCTGGTGGTGGTGTGTTCTTCACTAGGAAACACATAACATCTGGTCATCTCTCTCTGTCTGATGTCAACACCCCTTTAAAGCCATAATGGCCTAGATCCAGTAATTTGTTAGAGAATGCAGAATGATCTTAGTCTAATTTTTTCATTCATGAGCTGGAATTCTTCTTTAAAGAGAAACTTCCCCTCAGCAACTATTTGGTTAACTAGTGGTATCGATTATGGAGGAAAAACAGGATAAATGCTTGCTTTTTTTCCCCCCTGCCACTTTTGAAAACTGTGAATTGGTTCACCATCATCCTCCAATAATGACCAATTCATCAAAAACATTATTACCCCTACCTCACAGCATACACAAAAGTTAACTTAGATGTTAACTTGGATGGATCAGAGATCTGAATGTAGAAGCTAAAACTATAATACTTTTGGAAGGAAGCAGAGGAGTAAATCTTCATGACCTTGGGTTGGGCGATGGCTTCTTAGACATAATACCAAAAGCACAAGCAACAGAAGGAAAAATAGATAAATCAGACTATATCAAGTTTAAAACTTTTATGCTGTGATACCATTAAGAAAGTGAAAAGACAACCCACTGAATAGGAAAAAATACTTTCAAATCATATATCTGATAAGGGACTTGTATCCAGAATATATAAAGAACTCATAATTTTTTTAAAAAAGCCCATTAAAAAATGGGTAAAAGGTCTGAATAGCCATTTCTCCCAAAAAGATAAACAGGTGGTCGATAAACACATGAAAAGATGCTCAACAGTCGTTGGGGAAATGCAAATCAAAATCGCAATGAGATACCACTTCATACTCACTGGGATGGCTATGATCAAAAAGACAGATGATAACAAGTTTTAGCAAGGATGTGGAGAAATTGAAACCCTGATACTCTGCAAGTGGGAATGTCAAATGGTGCAGTCACTTTGGAAAACAGTCTGGCAGTTCCTCAAAAGGTTAAACATA